GTTGAATTCCAATAAGGTTATATCATTCATCACCTTATTGTGATACGCAGGGCTCTGGGGTGATCGCTTATGCGTTCATCAGGTAATGGCGCGAATCAGCCTCACTTTTTTCTCAACCCATCGCCTCTGGGTACGACATGTCGGCAAATAGTGAGGCTATATATGATCCAAGTCGCGAGACATATTGCCACGCGTAAGGTGCGTGTGGACTATCATAGTATTTCTGTGAAGTTTTTCTTCGAAAGCCGAAAGTTTTGGCACTGAATTGAAGAAGTGTCATGGTATCTGGTAATGATTCTTCGATACCTCTTATTGAAGGATTTCTACAGCATTCAGACGATGTGTCATAGAAATTCTGTTTGTAACTTTCCAGCGTCTACTTACTACTTTAAACCTGCCCTTTCAACAAATCTCTTTCTTATGCTTTATGCTCCGAGTGTCATTTGATTTAGCTATGGCAGTTGCCGACATGCCTGTGCTGTCTATCAGTCCCCATTTCGACCACGTCGTCCGCAAAGAAGGAAGCCCTTTCGTCATCAGGTGTACGGTGAGTTCAGATGACGGCTTCGATCATGAATACTCGATCTCGTGGAAAGATCCTCAAGGAAATCAGATCCCATCGTCATCGAAATATCGGTAATGGACGATCTCTTTGATTCATGTAATTATGAATATGCGAAAAAAATTTTCTTTCAGAATTCACGTGCTCGAACCGCCATTCAGGAAAAGCAGAACGTCTTCGTTGCTATTTTCGAGCCTACAGCGAGACGACCAGGGTGCGTATGTCTGCGAAGCCACCAGCGGTGCACAGACCTTCACACAGACGTACACAATTCATGTGATGCGTAAGAGACGTTTCATTTGTTAATTAAATAATTCATCTTTTTGCATGATAGCTCCTAATACAGAAATGCAAAAAATTATTTAAAAAAAACAGTGCCTTTAATGAGGAAGAAACTTTATAATGGCCCTTAGCATATGGAAAATAATGGGAACTGATCGATAGATGCATCGTGCAATAGAATTCGAAAACATTATTCCTCATCATGCATTGATTATGACAGTCATAAATACCATTCAAGTGAAGTGAAGCATAGTTTATATAGATAAATTAAACAATTCATAGCTTAGAGCACCAAACACTGCAGATCGTACAACATTTTGTTCCCAATAAAGTATTGTACCATCTGCAGTGTTATATGGTCATCTATATAACTATGGGCTCAGAATCAAAAACCTGAAGCATTATTTGAAGCATATATTTTCTGTCCGTTTCCAAACGTTATCTATCAAGCATAGTTCAATTCTTCCCTTAGCTTCCGAGACGGTTTTCGTCAGTTTACTCTCAGTTCATGATTTATTTGCGAGGTGCGGTAGGGCGTAAAACAATATTAACTGCATATTTTGAAATTAATGTGGATGAGCTGATGAGGCCTTCAATTTTTTCGTCCTTGTTTGCTATTGTTCAGTGTATAAGGAGCTCTGTCTACGTTGGCTTGTGCGGACCAAACGGGATTTCTATCCTATCTCCTAGGCTGCCGTGAAGGCTGCATCATTGAGAGATGTTTCTGTGTTAGTAGGCGTAAGTTTTCGTATTGGATCTTGGTCAGAGTGTATTCTTCTTGGGTAAACCCGCTCAAAGATACGAAGAGTTTCGTTACTTATATGCCGCCACTCACTCGTTAATAAATGATTCCGAGAATTGTGAAATGCCGCATATGCCACAGCAGTCTCCTATAAGCCGCACGCTCAGTGGAACCGCTTCATTGGCAGCGTCTTGAATCATGCGTTAATACCAGCAGTTTCCACAAGATGATACAGTTTATACCGCGTTATGGCAGCACCTGGACGATGGTAAGACATTGAAGTGGATCATGATTTTATGGCATTGGAAAAGTAAAGAATTAGCCAAGGCAATACACAGTGCGATGGGTGACTAAAGTCCCGTTGAACCCCAACCTTATGCTAATTCACAAGGTTTAAATGGTCAAGAACGATGCGATGACGCCACTCGATTGGGTAGAACAATGCATATAAATATACATTTTAGAACATAAGGCAATATTATTTCATTTATAAATCGTTTTGTCGTTTCTGTTGACTATCAGAAAATTGCTTTGTTTCAGAACCTATGTCATGGCTTACTCGTGACCCGGTCGTTGGAGGTCTTCTTGAGGAACCGCTTCCAATTAACTGCGTTGCGGAAGGCGTTCCAGCACCAGACGTGACAATCCTCATGCAGGAAGGAAAAGCTCTTCCAGGTACAATGAGAATTCGGCATTACATAGGTTTGGTTATCAGACTAGGGTTCCAAAATGGGATTCTGGTCGCAGTGTTTCTGAGGAAAATGGCACTATTCGAATTTGAGTTGTGCTATCACCCACTTTAGCAGACCACGGGAAATGGCTTGCCTGAGTTGATTTACGAGTTACCAGGCACAGGATGGTGAGGAGTCACGTGACAGGGGTCACAGTCACAGAAGCCGGCCACAGTTACGGATCGATGGATGGTGGTTGATAAAAAATAAATTGCAATCAACGAGCACTGCAAATCCAGAACACGGACGATTGCTGTTGACACAGCGGGAACCCATGGTTACTGTCACATTCAACCTTAAATCGCCTCGAGTTGTGAGACACGTACATTTTTCAGATCAGCGCTTCACGGTTGTAAACAACGTGCTGACGATAGACCCGCTGCTGATGGACGACCGGGGGCTGGTAATCGAATGCACCGCCACTCAGATTTCCGGCGACGAAGATTACAGCAACGTGGAGCACAAACTGATCACGGTCGATGTCTATTGTAAAGCTTTACACGATATTTGCATGCATTGTAATTGGCTGCTTCATGACCGACGATCGACACACCTTAGATCCGCCGAAATTCGAGGAGAGCATCTTGTCGCGTTACGGAATCCCCGGCAAAAACGCCACCTTCCCCTGTGCAGTGAAGGAGAGCAATCCGCCCGTGATCGACTTCCAGTTCTGGCTGGACAGTCGTCGTATTCAGGACGACGACAAGTACCAGGTGGAGGTGAACCTGCTGGAGCAACGGGCGACATTGCACGTGAGTTTGTTGATAACGACCTGAC